AGTGTCCATGGAAAAGTAGTCTGAGTTACACTTGAGTAACTATTTTCAGGAACATATTAGGGTTACAAGAGAGGAGCTTATTGTACTGTACTAGAAAACTGTTACACAAATAACCCGCACATTGACAAAATGACTTTGTCAATGGTCCAAGTTGGACCGAAACGTCGTCGTAAGCTTCTCTCTTTTATGTGCGGGTTATTTGTGTATCGTTCCAGTCACGGTATTGTGCCTTTTTTGTTATTTCTAGAAAACTGTTGTTAGGTAACCTTCGTATTAACCCTTTCAGGGTCCAGAGGCCAAAATGCACACCAGGGTCCAAGAATTTAAAAAAAAAATTATTTTTTCTTATGAAATGGTAGAGAATCTTTTTCTGAAGGTAATAAAACAAAAAGTATGAAATTTGATGGAAAATTGATGAAATTATGCTCTCGCGAATTTTGATGTGTCAGAGATATTTATGAATCTGCGATTTTGCCGACTTTGACACCCATTTTAGGCCAATTACATTATTCCAGTTGACCAAATTCTCAGCTATTTCACTAGTATTACTTCTATTCTATCAATTGAGTACAATAAATCGCCCAGTCAACTGTTTCAACTACAAAATAAAGTGATCGGAAATTGGTATTATTATTATAATCAAAAAGATCAGAAATTGGTAATTTGGCCAATTTAACACAAAGTTCAAAATATTCCAATTTCAAAACAGGGTCCAGAATAAACAATGCAGACATTCCTGGCACTAAACTAACATTTCCTCTGTTCATTAGTTACATTTTGAGGCTTTACAAATGAATTCCATTTTTATTTTTTATTCATATAATGAATTTTTATTCAAACCAATAAATAGAAGATTTACTGTTATGCAATATTGTAATAATTGTATAAATATCATCACATTTGTGAATGTATATTAGATCCACCAGCTGGCGTGTATTAGATGTGCGAGGTCGTTTGTTTACTCTTGAACGACGACAAAAATTTAACATTTCTGCTACTTTGAGCTCAGTTTCAAGCCATTTCCAGTGCTAAAACCAATCAAAATCATCTCTATTTCTGTAATATATCTTCCATTCTATCAAATGAGACCAAGAAATCGCAAATACAACTATAAAAAAAATACGAAAAAACACTGCAAAGTCGCTGTTTTAATCGAATATCACGGTCTCAGTTTTTTCTCATTATACAGTGTGTGCTGCAGGATTTGTTTCATGTGGTGCACACATACCACACAGATGTATTCTCTCAAATCTAGGCCCAAATTTACCACTCACATTATTATTATTATAATCAAGGGGGAAGCGCTAAACCCGGAGGATTATACAGCGCCTGGGGGGGATGTGGAAGGCATTCAGGCTTAATTCGGGGAACTGGAGCACAGATCCAATTCCCTAAATCAAGAGCCCCTCACCAACATCAAGGAACCTTCCTTGAGGGGTTTACCACTCACAGCTTATCAGAGTGAGCTGAGCTCATGGCGTAGCTCTACGGTTTGGACCCTGAACGTAAAGCCGTAGATCTGCGGCACGGACCCTGAAAGGGTTAATTTAAAAAAAAAAGGTAGGGGGTCTTGATTATTTTTATGTTTACAGGACACTAAACCTTCAGGGGTCATGCAGTGCCTGGGAATGGGAGGCAACAAGTTTTGATCCAAGGAATTGGAGATTTGGTCCAATTACTTGGATCAAGAGCCTCTCGGTGGCTTCAAGGCACCTCCCTTGAAAGGTGTGGTCTGAAACATTATAAATGTTCTCAACATTTACCAGATTTGTAGTCACATTTTGTAGGGTATTGGTGTTACATGTGTAAGAGCCAGGAAGGAGGAACATTCATATAACTTTGCGAGTACCTCAGAGCAAAGATTAGTAGTAACCTCTGACTTCCTTTGATCTCATGGTCCTTCATCAGCCCAGGTACAAGGATGGACCCCCTCAGACAGAGCTCCATAGCGTTGGTCTTGGGGCTGTTTGGCAGGAGATCATGACTAAGTTGGTTGCACCAATGGCCAAGAAGATCTTCACTGGTTATGATCGTTATGTAGGGTTTATATTAAAAAAAGTTAGCATGACTACTGGCATCTCCATGCCATACATAATTTATAGTGGCTGTTTGCATGAATAAGCTTATTTTCTGAAAGCTTCATAAATATTTAATTTTTACACAGGTTAACTAAAAAATTTTTTAATAATACTTAGGTATTCCATAATTTAATTTTTACCCTGTTTATTATTTTTTTTTTACTTCTACTTCATATTTAAATGTAATCTTGAGCATACCCCTTCATTTATTTACAATTTAAGAAAAAAGGAAAACATTCACCATCATTCATTCCCTAGTTGCCTTATCAGAAGTGCACAGACATCTCGACTAAAATTCTGTTTTAAGCAGTGTAGGTTCTTGGTAACCAATTTTTAGTTTTGTGTTTGATGAAGATTTTTGTGTACTAGTCACATTACATTCATGGTGGGGGCCACTAAACCAGTAATGGTCATATAGCACTTGGGGAAGGGAAATGGTAGACAGTCAGGTTCAAGCCAAGGAAGGAGTGAACACAGATTCAATTTCTTTGATGAAGAGCCCCTCACTAACATCCTCTTGAAGAAGGAACACATTTATTAAAATCGCAACAATACTGGCCTCGCCACCCACCCCAGGCGTGGGATGAGGCATAAACATTTATTGCTTATTTGTGGTTACAGGGTCAGAACTCATGGCAATCAGCAACATTAACTAGCAGAGAGAACTGCACAATTACAGACTTAACTATAATGTTCACGTATTCCTTCACACAGTGCAAAGCCTCTACAGCAGACATTGCTGTTAAAAACCAAACAGGTGACAACAAAGACATTAAATAGCCTATGGCTGACTGATACCACCCTCAGATCCATTAATAGAAAGCATAGCTATGAGAAGCAGTATAAGTTAAGATTAATACCTAAAGAATGAGCAGAGATACACTATTGCACTTGCAGAGCTCAAGAAGAAATCAAAACAGATATTATGCCAACAGATTCATCCTTATTGAAGGAGATACAAAAAAAAAAGAAGACCTAGAAAACATTTTCTCAGATATTAGGCACTAGTAAATTAACCAAATCTGAAGAAATAGTTCTAATTAAATGTAATGAACCTTCCCTCCAAATCTCAGAGAGAGCCAATAAAATAAATTAATTCTTGACTATTAAAACAAATCTAGCCAGCAAAATTCTTAACTCAGCTGCCCAAGTAAAGAGATTACCTCACTGATAATGTGTCCAAGCTTGCTGTGCCTATTTCCTTCTTCATCCTAGGTTAATTCTGTAATTATGTTGCTGAAAAATAAAGCCAGAAACAAAGGACAATTTTTTGCCTCGGTGGGAGACGACCGACTTGTTGAAAAAAAAAAATATATATATACAGTGGACCCCCGCATAGCGAACTTAATCCGTGCAAGAGGGCTGGTCGTTATGCGAAATGTTCGCTATGCGAATTAATTTTCCCCATAAGAAATAATGGAAATAAAATTAATCCGTGCAAGACACCCAAAAGTATGAAAAAAAATTTTTTTTACCACAAAAAAATTTTAATTTTAGTACACACAAACTGAAAAAGGCATGCACAATTACATGACACTTACTTTTATTGAAGATCTGGTGATGATTGATGGGATGGGAGGAGGGGAGAGAGAGTGTTAGTGTTTAGAAGGGGAATCCCCTTTCCATTAGGACTTGAGGTAGCAAGTCCTTTTTCTGGGGTTACTTCCCTTCTTCTTTTAATGCCACTAGGACCAGCTTCAGAGTCACTGGACCTCTGTCGCACAACAAATCTGTCCATAGAGCTCTGTACCTCCCGTTCCTTTACGATTTGTCTAAAATGGGCCATAACATTGTCATTGAAATAGTCACCAGCACGGCTTGCAACAGCTGTGTCAGGGTGATTTTCATCCATAAAGGTTTGCAGTTCAACCCACTGTGCACACATTTCCTTAATTTTTGAAGTAGGCACAATGGATTCCACAACTGGCATAGGCTTCTCAGGGTTAGCCCCAAACCCTTCAAAATCTTTCTTAATTTCCATACTAATTCTCACCCTTTTTACCACAGGGTTGGCACTAGAAGCTTTCTTGGGGCCCATGGTCACTTATTTTCCAGAAACAGCACCGAAAACACTGTAATAATACGAAATATTCCGAGTGTATGCTTGAATGTTACCGCGGAGGCTGGCTGGTAAACAATGGACGCGTCTCGGACGAAGGTCGCTGAGCGGGTTTTTGTCCACTATGCGGGGCAAAATTTTGGCGAACAAAGCGTTCGCTATGCGGATTGTTCGCTATGCAAGGCGTTCGCTATGCGGGGGTCCACTGTATATATATATATATAATATTGTGTGTTGTAACCTAGTCATCAACAGCCTGACTGGTCAGAGACCTCAGCTGTAATTTGTAGAGGATAGTCTCCACTAATTATGCTGAGTATTATTATAATCAATGGGAAAGCACTAAACCCGTAGGATTATACAGCGCCTGGGGAAGGCATTCAGGCTTAATTCGGGGAACTGGAGCACAGATCCCATTCCCTAAATCAAGAGCCCCTCACCAACATCGAGGAACCTTCCCTGAGGGGTAATTATGCTGAATGATCCACTTTGGTTTAAAGATTCTTGAAACAATGGACAGTGTGACCTAATTTGATAGTATTCTGAATATTTTCTTTACCTTACCAGCAAACAAATTATGTTAACAATTTCACATAAGTTGCACATCTTGATAATCTCAGAATATGCAACTCTGTATCTTAGAATACAGTTGTACACATAAAATTTGCTATATACATAACATCTGAACCATTTATCCACTCTTCATACATCAGTTCAATGGCAAAAACACCTGAATTTTTTTTTTTTCAACATGGTGTTTACAGCACAATATATGAATCTACCCACCTGTGACAGACCCCACCTCTTATCCACATGTTTCACTCTGCATTTGAACAGTACATGACCCTTTCTTTGCTTGATAGGACCCTCGTCTAGATGGTGGGTATGAATCAGTTCCCACTATTGATATCCACATGAAGCAGATGGGTATGGAGGAGGAGTGGCTAGAGATCCTGAGAACATACATACAGCCTCTCCAGCTTAAGGTCTTCCAGGGATATTACAACGATGGTGGAGTGAGGAGACATTCCTGTTTGAATGCTATTGGAATCTACCTTATTTATGAGTGGTGGTGGCTATTAACTAGTTTAAGGATGGTGATGGACTAGTTAGCTTGTTCATGGATTATGGTTCTGTTTAGTTTACTGGTTTAGTATTAGTGGTGATGGTAAAACTGGGTACATAATTACCAAATGTTGACTATATTGTTATAATAACATTTGGTCTTATAATAATGATTGGAAAAATATATTAACTTGTATGTTTATTGCAGGCTCACTAGCTAACAATTGCTACTACAACTGAATAAATAATGGATTTGGTTATAGAGGTCACAATGTGGATAACAGTATTTACACAAAGAATTGCACTACACTGTGGTTGCTGATAATGCCTGGTTGGGATGGTGATGGTAGAATGATGGTAATGACTGAACTGTTTGCGGCACTAATTAATACCCTTTTCTATTTTTTTTTAAATAAAAACAAATGTTTTAACAAATCTCTTACATAAAAAGATATGTATTAATAACCATTTGCAAATTGCATTAGCAATATCTAACTCTTAAACTTTTCTTTGGACCTTGCTACCTCTGTGGTCAGTTTTTTGTCTTGCTTTGTATGTTTCTTGTACACATATTTGTTTATTTAAATGGTAAACTGTATTTGTGTTACATTTTAACCCATAATCTATTGTGACTTCCAAAATTAAAAATCCTATCATTGTTGTAATTTTAAAGAAAATTTTTATCTTGTAAAATGGTAGAGAATATTTTTCTAAAGGTAATTACACCAAAATGGCAAAATTTGATGCAAAACTTACGGAATTATGCACGCACAAAATTGGAGGTCAGGGAGCATTCTAAGCAACTGTGATTTCACTCATTTCGAGGACTATTTTAGACCAGTTCCAGTGCTCAGACTGACCCAGTTCCTGAACAATTTGCTAGAATGCCTTCTGTACTATCAGTTGAGTGCAAAAAACTCCCATTTAACTATGAGAAGCATCTTAATTCCACAAATTCACTTAAGAGTGCTTCTTGGCATATCTTATGCTGCTTGCATTTCACTAACACTAATTAAACTAAGTTTCCATTTTTTGTACATTGTTTTGGTATAATGTTCTTGCTGCTCATAGTACTATTGTGAATTTAAGATACACAATATGTTTTATTGATACTGTAGTAAAAATTAAGTATTTTTAGGTTGTATAGTTTTTCTAATATACTCTAGTGGTTCCCAACTTTGGAGTGATATATATCTTATAAATTTTGTGCATATGATATTTCCCATTCAAATTTATATGGAAAAAATATATTGTAAATTGTTTAGCATTACATTTCTACTTGAGGGCTAGATTTATACTGTGCAGCAAAAAATAAAGAAAAAAAAACTGCCTTGTCTGTTTCTAGTACATTAGTACTAAGATTAAATACCATTAGCAAACAAATTTGTGCCTGGGTTCTAATGCCAGTTACTTCATATACTGAACAGATGTTAGTACTCTACTCTACCATTTTAATACATACCTGGAAACTTGAAAAAAAAAAAATTGGTAAGTAGAATCCAGTTTAGTGTGAAGAAAAAAAAAAGTACAATACCATGTTTTTAAAACCTGGGACTCTACACTGCACACAGCAAATTTAAGGCCACTCAGGATTTCATTTCATTTAGTGACTGCTAAAAAATGTTACTTTCCACAAACAAACAAAAGGGAGTACTGAAATCACCCAGTTACAGTACTATATTTGCATTCCATCTCATATCATACTACCACTAGTTGGGAATCAGTTCTCTAGTTAAGTTCATAGGGACAGCTATCATTATTATAAATTAGTTACATTTTAGCAATGTAGTATAAATATAATAACTAGAGAGAAAATATAATTTGTCTAATCACATCTTTGGCACTTTCCACCAGCCTCCTCGAGCCATCATGAACTTCATGGTGCGCTACAAGCCTGACGAACAGCCATTCCTTAGACCACACCATGATACCTCAACCTACACAATCAATGTTGCACTTAATAAACCAGGAGTTGACTATCAGGCAAGTTGAAATGTTCCTGAAAGGACTTAAAGATGACTACAGTGGACCCCCGGTTAACGATATTTTTTCACTCGAGAAGTATGTTCAGGTGCCAGTACTGACCGAATTTGTTCCCATAAGAAATATTGTGAAGTAGATTAGTCCATTTCAGACTGCCAAACATACACGTACAAACGCACTTACATAAATACACTTACATAATTGGTCACATTTGGAGGTAATCGTTATGCGGGGGTCCACTGTACTTTCCTTGAGGGCTGGTGCAGGATTTATAACTCAACTTTTGAAATACTTTTAATAAAATTGTGTGTACAAGTTTTACTCACTTTCTGTGATTTTACTCTTGTGCAGTCACCCAATTTTTATTAGTAATTTACTGTGTGCTATAAACTTTCTTTCATGCGATTACACTCAAGCCCAGCACTATCGTGTGTTTTCACCATATCTCCTTAAATATTACTAAACTTTTTTTTTTTTTTTCAACAAGTCGGCCATCTCCCACCGAGGCAGGGTGACCCAAAAAAGAAAGAAAATCCCCAAAAAGAAAAAACTTTCATCATCATTCCCCTTTTTCACCCACTTGCCATATCACTGTTTTTGCAGAGGTGCTCAGAATACAACAGTTTAGAAGCATACCATGTAAAAAAACACAAAATCCTCCAAACGCCAATATCCCCAAAACCCCCCCTTTAAAGTGCAGGCATTGTACTTCCCATTTTCCCGGGCTCAAGTCCGCTATATGAAAATAACCGGTTTCCTGAATCCCTTCACTAAAAATTTCCCTGGCCACACTCCAACAATTTTAGGGGCCCAATTAAACCCCTTTACTCCATTCACTCCTATCTAACACGCTCAACGCACGCTTGCTGGGGAATCCAAACCCCTTTTCCCCCAAAACCCCTTACCCCCCTCTTCAACCCTTTCGAGGATGACCCCTACCCCCCGCCTTCCTTCCCCATAATTTTACATATATGCTTTTCCCTGTTATTCTCTTTTATCCATTTTTCTCTAAATACCAAACCACCCCAAAAACCCCCTCTTCTGCCCCCTGACAATACTTTTATTAACTCCACACCTTTTCCAATTTTCCCCCATCCAATTTTCTGCATATTTACACCACACATTGCCCTTAAACAGGGTCTCCCCCGCCTCCAACCGTCTCCCGCTACTGCATTTACCACCCCAAACTTCACACCCATAAAAGAGTTGGTATACTATACTTTCATACATTCCCTTCTTTGCCTCTACTATGATATCGTTTTTTTTGACTACAACATATACCTCAACGACTCCTCTCACCTTTTTTCCCTCTTCAATTCGAATGATTAACCTAATCCTTTTCATATATCCATCCGCCGACTCTCAACTCCCATAGTATCTGAAAAACATTCACTTCGTCCATACTCCTCCCCAATTTGATATCCAATTTTTCTTTATCTAAACATTTGACCCCTCATCACCTTATCTTTTCTATGTTCCACTTTCAACTTTCGACCTTTACACACATTCCCAAACTCATCCACTTCTTTGCATTTTTCTTGAGAATCTCCCATAAGCACCGTAATCTCAGCAAAAAGTAACTGTGTCAATTCCCAGTTTGTATTTGATTCCCCAAAATTTTAAATCCCACCCCTTCCCGATCCACACTGCTTATACTTCCTTTAATCATCCCCATCTATTTTATTAATTCAAACAACCATGGTGACATTACACATCCTGTCTAAGACCTTCTTTTACTGCGGAAGTAGTCCTCCCGCCTCTTCTACACACCCTAACCTGAGCTCACTTTCTCATAAAAACTCTTTACAGCATTTAATAACTACCACCTATTCCATATACTTGCAACATCTGCCACATTGCTCCTTACTATCCACTCTATCATATGCCTTTTCTAAATCCTTAAATGCAATAAAAACTTCCCTACCTTTATCTAAATACTGTTCACACATATGTTTCAATGTAAACACTGATTCTACACATCCCTTCCCACTCGAAACTCTTCGCTCATCCGCATCCTACATTCTGTCTTACTCTAATTCTTTCAATTATAAACCTACGTACACTTTTCCTGGTTATACTCAGTAAACTTTTTCTCTATAATTTTTACATTATTATTAGTATAATCAAAAAGAAGCGCTAAGCCACAGGGCTATATACAGCGCTGCAGGGTAGGGAAGGAAGCAGGGAATTGGATGGCAGAAGGAGGGGGGATGATCAGAGGTTACAGAAAACAGCGGCTGGGATTAGTAACGGGGGTTAGAGTAGGTTAGCAAGAGATAAAGTAAGAAAGGGCTGGGGGGGGCCTGAAAGTATCAATTTGTGAAGTAAGTCAGTCGTTGTCATAAAGTCAATGGAGAGTCCGGGGATGAAAGGTGGTCCATCTGCGTGAAGGGATAGGTAATGAGAATAAGCAGCGGGGCGAAGACGGACGACACAGGAGGGTTAAATTCTGCGTGCTCGTTGATAAAGTGGGCAGTCCAACAGATGTGGCTGACTGTAATGGAGCTTGGCAATTCTCACAGAGAGGGCAAGACGCTATCCTGAGTATCCATGAGTAAGACGAGTATCTCCAATTGCGAGCGGGATGAGAGTAGTCTCCCAACCTCGACACTGGTGATAAGAAGACGGCCAGTAACCTATCTCGGTTTAATAGAACGACGTTTGTTGCCGAGCATAGTGACAACGTTGTTGCCAAGGTGTGTAAAGGTGGGAAGATATTACAGCAATTAGTCCGGTTACATGGAAATACCATCTATAAGAAACTGGTAGGTCAATGTCCTGCTGCCGGCAGCAGGGTCTGCCTTTCATTTGCCGGTACGTCATACATGACCAGGGACCAACAAAAAAACAATTCCTTATGCTTAGTAAAGATGCGGCGTAGCCAATGCTTGGATACGGAGGGACTAAGGGGTGAGTGTATCAAATTTTGTATAGCCTGTAAAGCACTAAGGGAAGTCTGGAGACAACCACATAGGATGACACAGGCATATATGCATTTCGGTAAGTTCGTAAGGATGGCATATAATTCAGCAGTTAAAAATACTAGTGAGATAGTAAATGCCCTTGTACGACGCTGTCCGAAACACTGCTGCGAATCCTACGCCGTAGAAGACTTGAGCCATCTGTGTACACAGGCAATGGCATGGAAGAATGAGAGTGAAAGTGGTCAAGAAAATGAGAGCGGGAAGCTGACCGTTTGACAGTTGGGCTTTCGAGCAAGGGAGGGAAGAAAGAAACAGACTCGAACAGCTGGAACTTCCCAGGGGGGTTAGGGAAAAAGTGAGATGCTACATGTACATAGAAAGGTGGTAGTGGAAGAGAGACAAGAGCGAATGAGGCGCAGATGACGAAGGGTACGGAGTAAGCAGGGGCGGGAACAAAATAAAGAAGTCTACTAATATCAGTGTCCATTCTATAAATGAAGGATTGCGGAGATCATGAGAGCGTACATAGTAGCGCAGGCAATGGGCATCCGTCCGATCGGATAAGGATGGGAACGTTTCGCTTCTGCATAGAGGCTTTCGACAGGGGAAGAGCTGAAAAAGCCACCAAGGCATAAACGTAACCTTGGTGAGGAATGGGGTTAAGGTAGAGGAGAGTAGCAGGAGATGCCGCTGACTTGATCTGGTCACCATAATCAAGTTTCGATAAATAAGGGTGGAATGTTGGGCGGAGGAGGGTAAGCGACGACTCCGCTCCCCACGAAAGATGAGCAAGGTTTTAAGAAGGTTCAGCCGGCTGTGACAAGTTGCATTCAGAGAGGTAATGTGAGGTTTCCAGGATAACCTACGATCAAAGAGGAGGCCCAGAATTTGACTGTATCACGTTCAGGGATTCGTGAGCCATAGAGGTTACAAAGGATGATCCAGAGAGGACAGACGTCTAGTGAAAGTGTTTGGTGGGGTTTTTAGGGCTGGAAAAATTTAAAACATGTGTGGTGGCCAATTGGAAAACACGGTCGACTGCATGCTGGAGAGAAACTGTAAGGAGGTGACAGCAGGCGCTGACACAGGCAATAGCGAAAGTCATCAAACTAGAGTGATGACCAAATATTTGATGGAAGACTAGAGGCCAATCATTAATAGCATGAGAGTAAAAGTGTTGTGCTCAGAACACATCCTGGGGGGAACCTTCTGCTTGGACAAGTCCGGGGTGAGCACATTATTAACCCGATCTCGGAAATGCCGGTCAGTTAAAAAGTTCTTAAGAAGGATGGTAGATTGCCTCGAAGCGCCTAAGGAGTGGGCTTGGGCCTAATATATTATACCTCCATGTTGTGTAATATCGCCTTCTCAAGGTCAAAAAATATGGCATTAACTGAGTGGTTTTTTCGCACAAAGGCATTACGAACATACGTATCAAGCGCAGTAAGGGGTCTATGGCCTAGAACGTCCCTTACGAAAGCCATTATTGTCGAGTGGTGAGGACTGTTGTTGCGCGTGTCTCTAAATACCACACAAAACGTCTATTTGTACTAGACGTTCCAGTACTTTGCAAACTGCCACTGAGTAAGAGCAATGGGGACGATTTAGTGGGAGGTTTCATGTACCCTAAGTGCCTGGTTTGCGGAAAGGGAGAACAATGGCGGATTTCCAAGCTGTGGAAGATACTCCTTGTGACCATATAAGATTGTAAAAGGCGTAATAGGACTGCAAGGGCTGACTGATGTAAAATGTTGTAGCATAGGAATATGAATGTCGTCGGGCCCAGCTGCCGTATGTCGACAAGCTGAGAGTGTTGCAGCAGTTCTTGTAGTGGTAAAAGGACATTATACTGTTCTTCTCTGAGAGAAGAAAAGTCCAAGGCGTGCTAACTCTTGGCAGACTTTGAGGAAAGAAAATGAGGTGGGCTTAGATGGTGTCTGAGAAATACGGACCAGATGAATTTGCACCAATTTCATTTGCAACATCTAGGGGGTTTTGCTATATCAACACCGGCAACCCGCCAGAACAGGAGCCGGGGAAGGAGAATATGTACCACTCAGTTTTCGTACTTTTTTC